CAAACCCCGGCTCAGGGAGCTCACGCGCTGCTGTTCTGTCGGAGAGCATTCCATGAATCCTCCTCATTTCCAACCGCCCCCCGTCTTCAGGTGTTGTCGGTGTAAAAACTCCCGCTCTGGAAGAGCTGTTGAAAAAAGGGACTGGAGGAATTTCGGTCCCGGCTGTACTTTTGTGGGAAAGCCCGTCAACAGAGATGTTTTAATGATGTGCTTCTCGAATCCCAGGGGAGCTGGTTTTGACGCGCGGAGGCTTCCGAAGCGGGAGAAATGCCGCAGCCCCTGCTGCAGCGGCCAGGCGGGACCGGAGCTGCCGGCGCTGGGGAGAGCAACCGCGGTGTCGTGGCCTTGGCGCAGCAAAGCGCGACCAGGAAGGCAACCAGTCCAGCTGGGAAAGGTAAACGAGGGCTGAAATTACCCCCCGCTTGAACTGCACGGTCTTGTCTTTGTAGCATTTTGAAGGCAGTGGTTTCCTCACGGTAGTGCTCCTTTAAAGGGATAAATTCCCACATTTAAAAAATTAAAATGCAGTGAAAACTACCCTATAAAATAAGGCAGCTGTTAACTCTATAAAGCCTCCATCTTTTACCCAAATAAAACACATTTAATTAAGCAGCAGCGCCTTCCTATACCTGAGTAATGCCACAGAAAGGGCCCTGTTAAAGCAGTTTTTTTTTTATCTAGCGCATTTATATTACATGCCCATATAATTAAAACGCTCGTAGCTGGGTTTGTTCAGCCTGGAGAAGAGAAGGCTGCGAGGGCACCTAATTAATGCTTATAAATATCTGCAGGGTGGGTGTCAGGAGGATGGGGCCAGACTCTTTCCAGTGGTGCCCAGCAGGTGTCCGGCAGGTGGGAATTCGCACGCAGCACCCTGGAATTCTGCAGCGATCCGAGCAATGGCATCGAGCCGCTTCCATCGATCACGAGCCCACTGGTCTGGCTGTCTTTCTCACCCCCTTGAATTACGCCGTAGGTAAACGCTGTGGGCTTGGGCGTGAGTTTCCCAGCGCAGCGTCTGGGAAGCTTTCCCACGGTGCCGGGCTCCCTCGGCTTCCCAGGCTGCTGCCAGGGATGGGCGGCTCAGATCCCCTTCGGCTGCGCACCCGGCGCCGGGGGTCTCAGCCAGGGAGAGGAGGCGTCTGGCTTCAGCTCGGCCAGGTTGGATTGTGGTGGGTTTCACCTGATCACAGCACGGAAACGGGAGAAACCAAGCAGTTATCCGATGAATTTGGTGAGTTTTTTTACTTTTCATATTGCGAACACTTAGAAGCTCTTTTATTTGGAAGGGTACGGTCAGTAATGCACTTGGTGTATTGGTATTAAACCATTCATATAATGGTTTATACATATATATAATAAAATGGTTTAATGGAATATTATCCAGGGCACATGCTGAGAGGGGTCAGAGATTCTTTGGGTGCCGTCCACATGGCTTTGGGATGAGAAGGGCAAGCTCAGGGTCCTGCACCTGGGGAGGAACAACCCCATGCACCAGTGCAGGCTTGGGGCAGACCTGCTGGAGAGCAGCTCTGTGGAGAGGGACTGGGAGTACTGGGGGATGACAAGGTGACCGTGAGCCAGCAGTGTGCCCTGGGTGCCAAGAAGGCCAACGGGATCCTGGGGTGCATCAAGAGGAGTGTGGCCAGCAGGTCGAGGGAGGTTCTCCTTCCCCTCTACACTGCCCTGGTAAGGCCGGAGGAGGGGGCTGGAGCATCTCTCCTACGAGGAGAGGCTGAGGGAACTGGGCTTGTTCAGCCTGGAGAAGAGAAGACTGAGAAGGGACCTAATATATACTTACAAATCTCTTCAGGGTGGGTGTCAGGAGGATGGGGCCAAGCTCTTTTCAGTGGTGCCCAGTGACAGGACAAGGGGCAATGGTCACAAACTGAAGCAGAGGAAGTTCCAGCTGAACATGAGGAAGAACTTCTTCCCTCTCTTCGTGACGGAGCCCTGGCCCAGGCTGCCCAGGGAGGCTGTGGAGTCTCCTTCTCTGGAGATATTCCAGCCCCGCCTGGACGCGGTGCTGTGCAGCCTGCTGTGGGTGACCCTGCTTGGGCAGGGGGTTGGACTGGGTGACCCACAGAGGTCCCTGCCAACCATTCTGGGATTCTGTGTGATGTGGTTACACCCATTTCGGGCACCGCAGCTGTGCCGCTCTCAGGCTGCTGCAGTACCTGCCCTTGGCTTGGTGGACGAGCCCCCTCGCCTACGAGGGACTCGCTCGCGTCTCCCATTCCCACGCAGAAAGGGTGGGATAACGCCAGCCGGGACGCGTTGGTTGTTCCCGGGCTCGGGGTGGACGCTGATGCTGTGAGCTGCAGTTCGGTACGGGCTGAGCCCTCAGAGGGATTCGTTTGGGAAACGCCCGATGTGTGAACGTCAGTGATAGTGAGATGCTGCTGAGCTGCTCAGTACCAAATCACCTGGACCCGTCTAGAAATACAGTGCCCACAGGAGCGGGCACGGATTTTCTGACGGTGACACACTGGGATGGAGACAGGTAAACCCTACCGTGGCCCTGCCAGAGTCTCTGGACGCCTCAGGACATCTTGGACATACCTGGAATCAGATGGCGAATGCATGATGGAAGGGAGATTGCTCCTCCATCTCCCGCGTCCCTGACCGGTAACGAAACGACTGGATTATCTCTCTGTAAACGTGCAAACTGCCTTGAAGCCTGTCGATACCGTTCGAGTCACGAAGAGCAACGAGGAATTGCGAAGCTGAGGCCGCTTGCGCCCCGCACCGTGAAGCCGCGCTCCGGGCACTGCACCAGATCGTCGCGCATGGAGTGGATTGAACCAGATGTGGAAGCTGAGCTTTCACTCTACGTCTTCTTGCTTGGCTTTTGCTGGAATATAATCCACCTCGTGCTGCAGAGCACGCTGGGGGAAGATTTCCCAGACGCTAAAACCTAAGAAGCTGGAGTGTGAGAGAAGCAGCGATGGGAAAAATAATCCAACAGCACCTAAACTTTGTTGAACTGCCCAGCAAAATCCTCTTAGAAAGAGTCAGAAGTGCCAGCCAGCCGGGCCCACGGCTGCATCCCGAGGGCTTGCTGTAGGCAGAGCTCAGGGATGCTGTGGATCCACTCCGAAGGGTCTTGCGCAGAGGAACGGGCATGCCAAAGCAGCTCGGTTCAGATGCCGTGCCAACAGCTTGGTTGGATTTCTTGCCTGCCATTTCCAAAAGAAATAAAACAAGCTGGGCGGGCTGCGGCGCAGCCCGGGCATGGCCCAGCCCCCAGCCCCAGGCACGCGTGCCACTGGCCATCCCGGCTTCATTAGCTGAAACGAGTTAGCACAAGGCGGGAATATTCTCACAAAATTAGCCTGCGCTGCAGCGTTCGCGGGCTGGAGGCCTCCGGAGGCTGTCAGGTAACGAGCTTAAATTGCAGATGTGTTTTTCTCTCTTTGTGCAAAAAAAAAAAGTCGATATAAAAAACCAGGAATTGCTTTGTGTCGGGTATTCCTAAGTTCTTCTCCTAAATATATTTCAAACTTCGCAGACTTCCAAGCTCTGCCCACCGGAGCCATGGTTTCCCATAAAGATTTGGGCTGCTGATGCCCATGTGCTACAGTCAGGCTCTACTGGTTTCGCGATGGTTTGCTATTCTACCGTGTCCGATGTTTGCTGTAAATGAATCTGCCCCGAAATCTGGGGTTTAAGCCCAGCAAACCACGCAAAACCCAGCCAGGCATCCGAGCTGGGCCCGTCCTTACTCCAACCCCGCAGCCGAGCCGTGAACGCTGCTGCTCGTGCTCCCACGGTCCCAGCGCAGCTCACCGCGTCCCGCTGGCCTGGCAACATCATGGCCAAAAGGGTTTTTTTTTTTTACACCTCGTAAAATTCCAGGTACGAGCTGTCAGAAGAGGTGCTGGGTGGTTTACGTGGGTGAACGCGCTCAGGCTTCCCCCACCAAATTGCTGGGGTTTTTCTGGGATCACACCTACAGCAGCTTTCGCTCCGCAAATCTACTTTGTGTTGCAGCAAAAGCACGGGTTCAACAAAGCACTTAAACACGCACTTTATCTTAAGCATGTTGGAGATTATATCCCTCTTTAGCAAAGCATTTAAGTATGTGCTTAATTTGAGGATTTAATTAAGGATTTTAATTGTAGACTTCGGTATGTGCTTACCTGCTTGGCTGAATATGGGTGAGATTACTGCGTGCTGAAGATTTCTGCGTAAACGACTGATTCTGTCTGAATGAAGATGCGACATTATTCTCACACAATGCCGTTAAAATATAACCAGGAAAAAGGCAAGAGGCAGTTAGCTTGATTCCTCTAGCGGAAAGAAGCATCCATGACCAGATCAGAGTTGATTAAAATCTCATATTATTAGTTATAACCTCAAAAGTGGCGTTAAAGATCAATAGAAAGGGGCACCTTAGAAACGAGTCTCCAGCTCATCAGCTCTAATTATGAGCACGGAAAGATTCCGACATCCTCTGCGTCTCACTGGAGACAGGGAACTTGAAGTGTAAATGGCCACCGAATAAGGGGCCGTGGGGCCATTTCTCCAATCATTCGGGGGGTTTTAAGCCCATTTCCTAAGGAAAGCGAGCTTCTGCAATTGCATCGCCGGCCTGTCTTTTGGGCCATTTCCATAACTTTTGAACTCTGTGATAAATTTCATCTAATTGGGAGGGGGGAAAAAAAAAAAAGGATTGCAAAGATACCACGCTCCAACCAGCTTAATGCAAACAAGCAAACGGTTTTCTGTTCCTCCAGCAGCATTCGCTGTCGCTGGAGAACCTTCTCCGTCCGGGCCTGGGACAGAGGCGGGAACGCTGCCGCTGTCTGAAGCTGGACGGTGCCCACGTTGCTGTGGGACTGACATCCCGCATCTCCTACACCTTGCTCCCGCAATTCCCTTACGACACGCTGAAGCTAACACGCGCTCAGAAGACGTACGGGTCTGCAACCTCATCTGAATTGTGATGGCGTTTATTTTATTGCATGCCTGGAAAGCGTGGAGGATTTAAACACGCAATGGCGATACCACTCAGGGGTACAGGGATCGCTGCACTTTACTGCTAAAGGCAGCAAAACGCCCTTGTCCTTTCTTTGCCTTTTTGTTTGCTCAGGTTTTTTGTCCTTTTTTTTTTACTGTCCCTCAAGTTACACCGTCAGCGATGTGAGGAAAGGCATGGTGGCTATCTAGAAGTATTTGGGAGAGATAAACACGTGCAAATGCGAGAGGAGGAGCTGAGACCAGAAGTGCTGGAGGAAATTCAGGAAAAGGAACGAGCCTAAATCCTAGTAACGCGAGAAAGGACGTTTATCAGTGTTTGGTGGTACTCCTCACCACATCTGCCGAAACAGTAAGAGTTTTACGTTCGTGTGGTGCCGGGTCCTGGGTGTAAAGAAGTAACGGGGATGGTCAGATTCTTCCTCTTCCTTTTTAGTTTCACTACCTTTCAAGATGCAAAATTTCCATTTTTCCCATTTCGTTGAATTGCCTCCCCATCCTCAACTCTCACCACTTTCTTACTGTCTAAAATCTTATTTCTCAAGCACTCCTCTCCTTCTGCCTCTGCCTTCTGTCTCTGCAAGGCATCTTTCTGACTTCTTCCAGGAGAAAAGGAAGAACACACGTGTGTTGGGGCTGGCTGGGATGGAGTTAATTTTCCCCCTTCCATCTTATTTTCTTCCGCTCCGTCCTGCTGACGAGGGGAGTGACAGAGCGGCTGGGGGGGGGTCCAGCCAAGGTCAGTTCACCACCGTCCTTTCTGGTGCCCAGCGTAGGGCAGGAGACAATGGTGCTTTTGCATTGAGCATGCTATCGCTCTAGTAGGTGAGTGGCAAGCTTCTGTGCGGGTTGTGGAGCTCGCTGGCTGCGCTGCTCTTCTCTTTACTCTGCTGAACATGGCAGTACAAACAACAGCTACATGTTTTGCCCTGGCATCGATGGCCTTACCGTGCCGGGGAGCTCTTTTGTGGAGAGGATAAAGAGCCCAGATCCCTCACGGGGCGGCACTGGCCCTTCTCTCTGCCTGAAAATGCAACCCCTCTGCTGATTGACCCCAAAATTTGGAAATTGCCTTGAGCCAACTGTTTGCCCTCCTCCCTTTTGATCTTCGTCTCCACCTGCCTATCACTACCTCAAGGTCTTCATCACTTCCCACCTTTGCCTCATGCCTTGCCCTACGAGCTCGCCTTTCCCACTTGCCCGTCTTGTCGGTACTGGTGAATTTTGTTTTTCACGGCGCTGCTCCCAGCTGTGGGAGGAGCGGGACATTGGTCCCATCCATCCCTGCCCACCCTCTGCGCACCCTGGGGCTCCCCAGCATTTGCTCCCACCTCGGCTCATTCTCTTGCCCAGTTCCCGTGCGCTCCCAGCCTCCTCTCCCGTCTCCAGCAGGGCTCCTGCCTGTTCGGGGCCACTCATCCAAGCCACACAAAAGACGTTTGTTCTCCAGCGTCCCTCAAAATGTCTTTTCTACTTTACCTCGTTTCACTCCTGCTCTACAACGTCCCACTGGTTGCCCTGTGAGAGGACCAGTGTCTATAACACTGTAACGCTACTGTCCTAATCTGCTCTGCATCCACCTCCGTGTTTCAGGACATGAGGGATTTTCACGCCGTGTGGAATCCTCATTTAGCCCCAACAATGTCTTTTTGCTGGCAGCAGTCAACAAACAAGCAAAGGAGATGTACATTACCCATAGCTGCTGCTTGTGGGCAGAGGAAAAGAGAGCTCTGGTCGTGCGAAGGAACCCGAGATGGGGAGCACAGCCTGCCGCGGCTTTGCGTGCTGCCTCACAGAAATGATCATGGTGTGCTCCGGCCAACTGGTCCTGCTGGGATGGGGTGGCAGGGCTTCACGGTCAGCCCATAATTAGCTGCAGTGACTCTAATTAGCTGCAGCAACGTTCAGCGCAGTGGCTGAACGTGACATTTGGAAGTGGCTCGAGAATGGGAGATGGGATGCTGGGTAAGAACAGATCTCATAAAAACTGGAGGGAA